ATCCGAACCCGGGGCCTTGGGGTTATCAGCACCGCACTCTCCCGAGTGAGCCACGGGCCGGCCCCATCGCAACCCTCGGTGTTGCACCCGCACCGCACTCAGCCAGTGAGCGGGAACCGGTCTCCACATGGGATCCGAACCCTTGGTGGGAACGCCGCCACGCTCCCAAGCGACGCACTCTCCAGTGCACCACCGGGCCGGCCCCCAGTAATCCTTTAATATCATTTCATGCCAGTCCATGTTTAGGTGTCCCAGATTATCTCATAAATACCTTTTTTGTGGTTGTTTGGTTGGTTTTTGAATCAGGATTCTTAAAGGGACTGGCTGTGGTTGATGTGTGTGTTAAGTCACTCTCTCTCTCATTTTTTTGTCTTTTCTCTTTTAAGTATTTTTTGATTAATGGACTTTATTTATTTATTTATTTATTTAAAGATGACTGGTAAGGGGATCTCAACCCTTGACTTGGTGTTGTCAGCACCACGCTCACCCAGTGAGCCAACCGGCCATCCCTATATGGGATCCGAACCTGTGGCCTTGGTGTTATCAGCACCGCACTCCCCCGAGTGAGCCACGGGCCGGCCCTGACTTTATTTTTTAGAGTAGTTTTCGGTTCACAGCAAAATCGAGGGGAAAGTACAAAGACGTACCCTATTCCCCCTGTCCCCACACATACACAGCCTTCCCTACTAACATCTCCCACTAGAGTGGCACATGTGTTACAATCAATGAAGTGACATTGACACATCATTGTCATCCAAAGTCCATATTCTACATGAGGGTTCACTCTGAGTGTTGTACATTCTAAGGGTTTGGACAAACGTATAGTGACATGTGTCCACTGTTGTAGTATCATACAAAGTGGTTTGACTCCCCTAAATCATACCTCTTTTTTAATCTGAGAAAAAGAACCCAAAAAACAAAAAGTGGGATTCAGTTTCCAGTTCCTCCCATTTTGAAATAAGAGTTTTGTACATTTCTTGATAGGTCGATAGGAGACCTAGGGCCTTTGCTCCAAGGGGTTCTCTGGCCTGCGTGGGGCTGGTTGTGTCCCTTTGGTGTCACTTTAAACTGTTTTCCAGTTCCTCACATTTTGAGGAACTCATAGTGAGATCTGGAGACTCAGTCACGTTCGAGGTCAGATTCAAAGTCTGGTTTTCCAGAGAGATTTTTTTCTGTGGTGCCAGCCCTTCCAATGATGTGGTTTTCGTTATTGTCACTTTTCTGGAGTCTCAGACACAAAGGTCTCAGGGGAAGAAGCCAGGGAGTGGACACTGACCTTCTGACAGTCAGTCAGTGAGCATCACAGGGTGCCTGCTGCAGGCCAGGGTTGATGCTGGCACCGTCTGGGAATGAGGAGCATCCATTGGTACCCATTACCACACGCCGGGAGGCTGCTCAGCATGGAGGTCACAGGCACTGGGTCAGATGGGTTGGCGTTTGGGTCCTGGCCCTGAGGAGCCCCTCCATGTCTCTGAGACTCCGTTTCTCCTCTGAGAAATGGATTTTAAAAAAAAAAAAAACCAAAGAGTTTCTCCCACAAATTCGGGCACATAGGTAAAGATGTCCACAGCACCTAGTCCATAGTAGATGCTCATTAAAAGTGGTGGAGGGGTTGGCTGATTAGCTCACTTGGGAGAGCATGGTGCTGATAACACCAAGGTTAAGGGTTCGAATCCCTGTGCTGGCCAGCTACCAAAAAAAAAAAAGTGGAGACCATGGAGGCAGGGTACGCAATCTGGGGTGGGTGTGGTCTGGGTGGGCTTTTTAAAGGAGGTGATGGGTGGAAGGTGGGTAGGAACATGGGTGGGGGAGGGTTTGGGGAATCCTGACCCCACCTCTGCCCTCACCCCCATCCCCAGGGTGGGCTCTACGAGGCAGTGAACGAGGTCTACAAGACTCTCATCCCCATCCTGGAAGCCCACCGAGACTACAAGAAGCTGGCCGCTGTGCATGGCAAACTCCAGGAGGCCTTCACCAAGATCATGCACCAGGTGGGCCCAGGATGCCCTGCCCCGGCCCCACCCTTGGCCCCGGGTCCCCCCCCCCACCCCCGATCTGGGCTCTGCTGACCTGGACCCTTCTCTTCCCCACAGAGCTCTGGCTGGGAGGTGAGTCAGCCTCGGGGGCCACCTGCCTCTGGGACCCCCGTGATGGCTGGTCAGCAGTGGTCAGAGACCACCAGGGGGCGCCGGAGGAACACGGCCACCGCAGCAAGGGCTGGGGCATAGTGGGCAATGACGTACCCCCAGATGTTCCCGCCTCAGATCTCGAGGGCAGCTTGTGACTCACCCAGCTGGGCACTCTCCAGAGACACCCCTCCCTTGGGCAGGGCCAGCTTGGTCACCTCCGGCGAGGGGGCTCAGATTCCCTCCCTCTGTCTCTGTGTCTCCCTTGGTCCCTATCTCTCCTGGCCGCCCCAATTCCCAGCTTCCCCCAGGATCTCCCCTCCTCATCTCTGGTTAATGCTCCCCGCCATACCCCAATCCCGCCTCTTCCCTACTTGGGTCTATTTTTAGGCATCTCCTAGTTTGGGGAGAATTTTCTGGCCAAAGATGGCAGGAACCCAGAGCCCCAGCAAGCGGGCTGGGTGGGGGCCGGGTGGGGGCCGGGTGGGGCAGGCGGGCAGCTCCCCTCCCTCCCTGGATCCCTGATCTCTCTGCCCAAGGAATGTTCTCGTGGGGCAGCATAATCAGGACCCTGGGGGTGGGTGGCTCTGACCTCTGACCTCTCCCATGACTTTTTCTCTCTGCCCCCCCTTCCCCACTTCTGGCCCCACTGTGTCTGCTCCACCCTGCCCGGATCTGCCTTGGTGAGTGAATATGGGGCCGCCACCCACTTCCGTTCCAGTGGGGATGTGTTCTTGAGGCAGAAGGGTTCCTCCTTCCAAACTTGGGGGGGGCATGGAGAGGGGAATGCCCTGGATCAAGGGAGTCAGAGCCTCTGTCTCAAAGTGAACAACAGCCCTACCTTCCGTCAGCCATTCAAGCATTTATTGGGCACCTGCTGTATAGCCAGTCCCATGGGCATTGGGGACACAGCTGTTACCAATACAGCCCCAGTCCTAATTCCATAGTGGGATGCGGGAGAAAAACTAGGGATTTTGTGATCTATGGGATGCAGATTTGGGGAGGTGGAAGACAGAGGCTGGGAAGAAAAAGCAAGGGTTCGGGCAGCTGGCTGTGGTCTGGGTCCACATCCTGATGTTCTCAGGGTCCCCTGCCCATGCATGTGACCCCATGTTCTTGGGGTCATTACAGCCCAATCCTGATGTTCTTGGGGATCCCCCTTGCCCGTGCCCACTCCTTCCCCATCCCCTCTCGCTTCCCTCTGCATCCTGTCCTGTGGGGCCTGAGGACACCCGTCTCTGGGGAGGGGAGACCTCTAGAGGGGCCTCCCGGGAAACCACACACCTTCTCACAGCCCCAGCGCGTATTCGGGACGTATTTTCGGGTGGGATTCTACGGCGCCCGCTTTGGTGACCTTGACGAGCAGGAGTTTGTGTACAAGGAGCCGTCGATCACGAAGCTGGCGGAGATCTCCCACCGGCTGGAGGCATGTCCCACGATGTGGGGGTGGGACACGGCACTGGGCTGCCTTGGGGCTGGAGCTGGGGCTGCTTCTGTGTGGTCTCAAGTCAGACCCATGTCCCCAGGAGTTCTACACAGAGAGGTTCGGGGAGGACGTTGTCGAGATTATCAAAGACTCAAACCCCGTGGACAAGACCAAGCTTGATCCACAGAAGGTGGGTCTCCCGGCCATCCCCCCAAAATCCTGTATTCAAGGAGACTACAGGTACTATTTCCTGGGGACCTCAAATCCTCCCTCTCTGGGGATCCCCAAACATCCAGACATAAGAAGACCTGGGAATCCCAGATTCAAAGCCCCCAGCTGCAGGAAAGCCAGCTCCCCTTTTACCAGGGACAGACCCCAGGTGTTTTGTGTTGGGGCTACGGGACCCTCACACTGGACCACATGCACGCCCCAGGCCTATATCCAGATCACATACGTGGAACCACACTTTGACACATATGAGCTCAAGGACCGGGTGACCTACTTTGACCGCAACTATGGGCTGCGCACCTTCCTGTTCTGCACACCATTCACGCCAGATGGGCGTGCGCATGGGGAGCTGCCGGAGCAGCACAAGCGAAAGACGCTGCTCAGTACCGACCATGCCTTCCCCTACATCAAGACGCGCATCCGCGTGTGCCACCGGGAGGAGGTGGGCAGGGACCCCGGGGCCAGGGAAGGGGTGGGGGACATCAGACCCAGAGAAGGGTGGTGGGGGGACATCCGACCCAGGAGGCCTGGAGAGGGGAGGCATGGGGACACCATTCCTTAGGAAGGGAGGCGTGGGACCCCAGACCCAGAAAGGCCCAGGAGAGGAGGCGTGAGTACCCCAGATCTAGGGAAGCCCAGAAAGGAGAGGGCAAGGACCCCAAATCTAGGACTGCCCAGGGATTCCAGACCCAGAATGGGGAGGCCCAGGGACCCCAGATCTAGGAAGGCCCAGGGAGGAGAGGTCCAGAGATCCCAGACTCAGGAACATACCCAGGGACCCCAGAACCAGGTTCGGGGAGGGGTGAGGATCCCAAACTCCAACCTCCAGACTCAAAACCCTACCTCCAGATCCAGGGAGGCCTGGAGACCCCAGAATCAAGAGCACCAGACCCAGAAGATCCAGGCTAGACCCCAACCAAACCAGAGCCCCTAAAGTTAGACAAAGGCCGCTCAGCCAAGACCCACACCCTGGCAGGCAGACCCTCCAGACCATGTTCATTTCCCAGCCTCTTGGACCCCTCTTTTGCTCCCAGAGGGGTCCATGCTGCTGTGGGCTGGCTTGGGTCCCAGTGAGTGCACGCCCCCTCCCTCACCCCACAGACGGTGCTGACTCCAGTGGAGGTGGCCATCGAGGACATGCAGAAGAAGACACGGGAGCTGGCCTTTGCCACTGAGCAGGACCCACCAGACTCTAAGATGCTGCAGATGGTGCTGCAGGGCTCTGTGGGGCCCACCGTGAACCAGGCACGGAGGGTGTGGGAGGCATGCAGGCCACCCGGGGCACTCCAGGCACCATGCAGGCACCCTCATGAGTCCCTCTCCCCCCATAGGGTCCCCTGGAGGTGGCCCAGGTGTTTTTGGCAGAGATACCGGAAGACCCCAAGCTCTTCCGGCATCATAACAAACTGCGGCTCTGCTTCAAGGATTTTTGCAAAAAGTAGGCCCAACACTCCCCCGTTATAGCTCCTCCAACCTCTGCCTACTTATCCTCCATTACAGCGTCTCTAGCAACCTGACCCGTTATAGTTCTCTGTCTACCTGATCTCCATCACGGGTGCCCTCTACTTGTCTGACCCCCCCATTGTGGGTCTCTGCATGGCTGGCCCCACCTATGGGCTCCCCCATATCTACTCTCGCTTTCTCTCCTGAGCACCAGCCTCTGAGCCCCTTCTGCCATCTGGCCCTCAGGTGTGAGGACGCTCTGCGGAAGAATAAGGCCCTGATCGGGCCGGACCAGAAGGAGTACCACCGAGAGCTGGAGCGCCACTACTGCCGCCTGCGAGAGGCTCTGCAGCCGCTGCTCACCCAGCGCCTGCCGCATCTGCTGGCACCGACCCCAGCCAGCCTCAGGTGCCTGACCCGGGCCCCCCACCCTAGAGAAGATGACAGTCCCAGACAGATGCAGGATGGGGGCTGTCATACACGTGTTGACACGTACGGCTTTGCACAAGCATCTGAATACATAAGCATGTGTACAAGTGCAGGGTGGGCTCTGGGCAGCCATTTCTCAGACATGTGACCTCATCTTTCCAAACCTCAGTTTCCACATCTGTAGAATGGGGATGATTTGTACCTCCCATGGTGGATCCCAAGAGAGAATCTGCCAGTCCCACAGCCAGATCAGGGTGGATGTGAAAGAGTCAGGAGACACTCTAGAAGGATCCTTAGGGTGGGGGTGGGGGGCGGGAGCACTATGGAGTTGGTGGCCCTGTGCTTGATCCACGTATTCCTCCCCCAGGAACTCCTTGAACAGAGCAAGTTTCCGGAAGACAGACCTCTGAGCATAAAAAGGCCTGAAGCCACACCCAGAGGAACCAGCACGCAGGCCTCAGCTGTCTGTGCCTTACTGGGAGTCTCCCCTACTGCCCACTTGGCCTGGGGGTAGGGTGGGGGGGTGGTGACCACCTGGCACGTGGGGCTGGGCCCTCTGTTCCCCTGTTTGTCTGTTCCCCATCTGTGTGCACTGATGCTTACCTTTTTTAATTTAAGATTGTTTTTATAAGCAACTGTGTGGTGTGGTCACTGGCGGGGGGTGGGGAGGTTACATGCTCACGGTCCATCCCACGACATTCACATGCTGTGCCTTGTTGATTGAGATACTGGGTGCCAGGGACACAGCACTGACAACAGGCAAATTCCTGCCCTGGTGAAGCTGACATTCTAGTGGGAGAGGCAACATACAAGTAAAACACATGTCCACTGGGAATAACAGTCACATTAAGTAAGCCCTCACTGACTGCCAGGCCTGGCACTAAGTGGCTCCCACAAAGATCTCTGCCAAAGTAGGCCACGCCATTCACAGGCCTTTTTACATGAGGGGCCTCCATTAGGTCCCTGCCCAGTGGTTAGAGAATCTTCGTAACATCTCTATCAGGCGACATGATTAGCCCCATTTTACAGATGGGGAAACCGAGGCACAGCGCAGAAAAAGCCTGGTGGGCGAACGATTGGAGTCCAGGTCTGGCTGACTCCGGCTCCCGGGCCTTCAGCCTCATGCTGAAGCGGCCCCCCTCCCCGCCCCGCAGCGGTCACGCCACCGTGTGCCAGGCCTGCGCTGGGCCACTGCCAGCCCTGGGACGCCTGGGGGAGGGGTGACCTCCCGCCGCCGCCGCCGCCGCCGCCGC